CTCAGAGGCTTTGCTCCCCATCTCCCGCAGACCAGGGAGACGGGAGCAAACCCCGTTCGTAACTGCGGATCCGACATAAGTCGGATCCGCGTAACTCGGGGACTGCCTGTAGATATGGTGTACTTAGATTTCCAGAAAGCCTTTCACAAGGTCCCTCACTAAAGGCTCTTGTGTAAATTAGATTGTCATGGGATAAGAGGGAAGATCCTTTCATGGATTGAAAACTGATTAAAAGACAGGAAACAAAGGGTAGGAATAAATGGTAAATTTTCAGAATTGAGAGATGTAACTAGTGGTGTTCCCCAAGGGTAAGTCCTAGGACCAATCCTATTCAACTTATTCATAAACGATCTAGAGAAAGGGATAAGCGGGGAGGTGGCAAAGTTTGCAGCTGATACTAAACTGTTCAACATAGTCAAGACCAAAGCAGACTGTGAAGAACTTCAAAAAGAACTCACTAACCTGAGTGATTGGGCAACAAAATGGCAAATGAAATGTAATGTGGATAAGTATAAAGTAATGCACGTTGGAAAAAATAACCCCAACTATATACATACAATATGATGGGAGCTAATTTAGCTACAACTAATCAGGAAAGAGATCTTGGAGTTGTTATGGATAGTTCTTTGAAAACATCCACACAGTGTGCAGCGGCAGTCAAAAAAGCAAATAGGATGCTAGGAATTATTAAAAAAGGGATAGAAAATAAGATGGAGAATATCTTACTGCCCCTATATAAAACTATAGTACGACCACATTATGAATATTGTGTACAGATGTGGTCTCCTCACCTCAAAAAAGATATTTTGGCATTAGAAAAGGTTCAGAAAAGAGCAACTAAAATGTTTAGAGTTTTGGATCGGGTTCCATATGAAGAAAGGCTAAAGAGACTGGGACTTTTCAGTTTAGAAAAGAGGAGACTGAGGGGGGGATATGATAGAGGTCTATAAAATCATGAGTGGTATGGAGAGGGTGAATAAAGAAAAGTTATGTAGTTGTTCCCATAATATAAGAACTAGAGGACACCAAATTAAATTAATGGGTAGCAGGTTTAAAACTAATAAAAGAAAGTTCTTCTTCACACAGCACAGTCAACCTATGGAACTCCTTGCCAGAGGAGGCTGTGAAGGCTAGGACTATAACAGAGTTTAAAAAAGAGCTAGATAAATTCATGGAGGTTAGATCCATAAAAGGCTATCAGCCAGGGGGTAAGGAATGGTGTCCCTGGCCTCTGTTTGTCAAAGGCTGCAGGAGCATGGCAGGAGACAAATTGCTCCATCATTGTCTTCGGTCCACCCCCTCTGGGGCACCTGGCACTGGCCACTGTCGGTAGACAGGATACTGGGCTAGATGGACCTTTGGTCTGACCCAGTATGGCCCTTCTTATGTTATGAAAGATGCAGGCTAAAGATACTGAGTAGAGCATGTCCTCACTATGTATTTTAGTTTAGCACACACCAGTACTAGTTGGCATCACTAGTCTTTTTAGTAACTACAGATTAAAAAGAGTGCAAGACCATACAGAAGTTTTGTAATGTGAACAAATGTACATTATAGGTTGTTTGAAGATATTAGCATATTTAGTTTATGACCTCTTATAAGCCAGGCTTGATTTTAGGACTGCAGAGGAAGAAAGCAACTCCAATTACCTGCTCTAACATCAAGTATGGTGCTTTTTCACTTAGTAATAAATCAAAGAGTTAATACAGATTATGCATATCAAGAAAAGCAACTGTGTTTTGTAACTTCTTTTTTCCATTCTTGCTATATACCTAGTCTATAATTATCTGAATCATCACCGCTCCCAGGGATATTTTGACAAAGGAGCTGTAGCAATTTTTGTAACTATGTGATACCTGTTAAAATAAAAGGGAGTTAGGTTTGGCACTATTACTACAAAAAGCAAGATTTAGTCCATAACAAAGAGCACAAGCTGTTTGTGGTGCTAACCAGTGTCTATCTGCACTCCCAAATTTAATATTGTGCATTTACACTGATTTCCATCCCTGTATGTCAAGGCACTATTACAAATATTAGTTAAAAGTCCTGCACTTAAGAGGAAAGGAAAGTAAGAGATATTATACCTTTCTTTACAGCTGGGGAAACTGCGGCACACAAAGTTGTTTCTTGACCAAGGTAACATAGGAAAGCTATGTCATAACCGAAAATTATAGCCCATTTTCTGGCTTTAGTCCTGGTATCTAAGTCATAATATTTGCAACAATACGGACATACTAGTGTTAACCTAAGGACCTAACAATCTTCCTACCGATGTTTGACTTCTTAGGGTTAGGTTTTCAAACGAGCTCAACATAATGGGAGATGGTGGGTACATTAAAAAATTCTAATCTCAGTTTAGCTGAGCACTTGAAAAACTGGAAACATCAATAGTAAATCTTTGTATATTGGATCACAGGTCCAATGCCACCAATGAAGAAGTGGGTTGTGCCCACGAAAGCTCATACCATCTACATTTTTGTTAGTTTCTAAGGTACTGCACGACTGTTCTTTATTTTTTATTTTTTTTCAGTTACAGACTAACAGCTACCTCCTCAAACTTTTGAACCTTGTCCGAGTTAGCCTCTTGCTTATTCCCCAGATGTAAAAAGATCATAAACCATGTGGGCCATAGTGTAGTGTTTATATCACAAAGACAATGCTTTCTAAAATGTGAAATTTTACAGTGCAAGACTGCATCTAAACACTCTTAATGTGCTTAGCTATGCGAATCACTAGGTTTCTTGTGCTCACAAAATACAAAGATTTGTGTGTTATGCTCTACAAGCAGCTCTAGCACATTTATGACATTCTTCTAGCCTCTGACAGCTGCTGATAAAATCCCATGTGGGAAGATGATTTTAAAATCAGCCTGGGCTTAAAAAGCTTGCCTCATGCACAGCATCTTGTTAAGGCTTTGTAAACATGTCCTGTACTTACTTGGTCCTAACATCACCTTTGTAGTACTTGAAAGCAGGGTCCCGATGTGTTTCATTTCCATGACTCCTTGCCATTCAGGGAGGAGGCAACAATTGGAAAACACATCTATGTGATGGGCATTTAAAAACTAGAGCCAGTGCAGGGACTTCCCTTTGGGCATGTTCTGCGCTATGGACATGGTCCAGCAGGCTAGGACAGCACAACTCCTTACTGTTGGAGTCAGTGACACCAGCTGATTCTCCGGCCTCAGAAGTACCCGACTACCCCTCCCCACCCTCCGGGGGAGCCAGCTATGCCCCATACAGAGCCCCCTCCCCCCCAGGAGCACCCCTAGCCCCGCCTCTGTAGACAGCCCCACCGCCCGGGGGCACGCAGCCATCTCCCCCA